AAGCTGAGCTCACCCTGGCTACTTCCTTGAGATACTGAATTTCTTGCCCATTACAGTGTTTTAATCGAGAGACTGACATTCCTTTTTTAAAGGGATTTCATGCTTCATTTTTCCCTGCTCTGTCTCCAGAGGCAAAAAGGGGTAAGTGCAAACAACCTCCTCAGAGCCCCACCCGGTTCAGACATTCCTGCCCTGGTGCCCACCCTCCCCACCCTCCCCTCCCATCCCAGCCAGAGAACTGACATCCAACAGCTGCACTAATCTCTCCCAGTTGCTGGGAGCAACAGTGAGGGCCCTGTACCCTGGCCGGTGGCGGGCGGCAGCTTGCCCTCCCCACGCCCAGGAATCTACCAGACTGCACACCGCGTCCCGACACCCTGCCTGGACCGTCCAACCAACCAGTGTGGCGTGAAGTCAGGGCAGATCCGAAGCGCTTCATGGCGGGCAGGCTGGGGTGAGCGCAAAAGCTGGTGGCCGCCTTGGCTCTCAAGAGCCCGAGTTCCAGAGAGGCCCCTCGGGCAGAAGGGAGAAGGGGCATCCTGACAAAGGTGCCTCCAACTTCCAGGGTGGTCTGCCGGGTGGGGGGCATCTGTCCCCCCTCCCCCATCAGCCCCCAGCACCGTTTCAAACCTGCCTCCACCTGGCCAAGACACCGACCCCTGGGACTCTTAAATACAGATGCTGATGACTATTTTTTTATACTCTTTCCTTACATTTAAGTGTGGGACCAATGTCATGCTATGTGAATTAGTCTGAGGGGCTCCCTGCAGGTGATGGGGGTGTGTATGGGGAGGGTGGTGCAGCGAAGGGAGCCAAACATTCCTTGGAACACTTGAGAATCCAGAAGAAAGAAGGTTCTGGCATCTCGCTCCACCACCAGGACGAGGGGGTGGCTTTCAGCCGGGCCTGCACGTCTGTAACAGCATTTACCCCCACTGTGCAGGTGGAGGACAGGCCCACCCCCAGCAGGGAGGGTGTACCTGCCAGAGCTCACTCGTGTTCCCTGAGGACTAATTCCTGACCTAGATTCCAAACAACCTTGCTCAGACCGAGGAGAGCCTCCACCTGGAGGAAACTGTGAAGTACCACCTCGTCCCGTGGAAAACTCAAGGGAAGCTTTACCCTACCCGCTCAGGCTCCCTCTGCTTTGACCACAGGCAACCCATGCACTTCCTGGTCCCGAATTTATCCCCTTCGCCTTGTTTTGTAACTGCCCATTTCCTTGTTTTCTGACTCGAGGGCCCCATCTCCAACATCACTTTTTTTTCCTTCAAGTCTGGTCAAGTGCCGGGCACACCATCAGCACTCAATCATTTGGATGCATTTTAACTGAAATAATTTAAATCTATTACCTGCCCTTCTTGCATCAAGAAGCCACGTGAGACTGGACAATAACTTTTGATAAAGTCTGCCCTCAGCCGCAATGCCAGAGCCACAGTAATCAGAGAGCTGTCACCCCTCCGGGCCCAGCCCCCCATGAGCCCAAGACAAGTCATTCACACCCAAGCCTGGGGGCCTCGCCCGCCAGGCTGCTCGCTGCCCCAGCGCCCTCCCTGCCGCAGGCGGGCTTGTCCGGGCCTGCGCCTGGGTGATGGGCTCTGCACACCTGAACCGTGGCTGGCTCGAACTCAGAAGGGCCACACACCCCGAACTGCAAAGCCTCTGTATACAGCCAGAAATGCAGAACACATCACTGGCAGTTTTTATGCCGATTATGTGTTGACACTGTATTTTGGTATTAGTGCTATAATGAGTGAAAAAGCATGATCAATCTCGCCTATTTCTTTTTACTTTTTAAAACGTGACCACTAGAAAATTTAAAACACTCTGTCCATCACGTCTGATTCCAAATGCTGGCTCTCCGCCAGCCCCCCTTGTGTAGGGGGCTGCGGATTTGCCGCGGGTCACGTCACGGCACAAGCAACGCCCAGCACTGAGGGCTAGAGCTGCTCTAAGCATCTTCCTGCCTTCCTTTTGCTCTGCGCTAACACACGCTTCGTGAACTTGAAACAGGAACGGGGAACAGCCTCGGCATTTACACCAGTTTGGACTTCTCTAACACTTTTTATTAAGGGACAACAGGCACCCTGCCAGCTTTGGGGATTGGGGGGTGGGGCGTGTGTCAGGGCAGGAGAGCGAGAAGCCAACAGCTGTTTTGAGTTACAAACTTTCTGTTTAAACTGGTAGCATCCCACTGTGGTTCTGCTGCCGCTGGGGTTTGCAAATGGAGTCGGTGTCTATTTTAGCTCTGGGTTAACAAGCAGTCTCTCCCACCAGCTACTGTCACAGTTCACTGCCCGGCTGGGCCCTGCTGGCTCCTGCCTGCCCCCACGGCCTCCTCTGATAGCAGGCTATTACGTGCAACAGCAGAGCAGAGAGGAGAAGAGGGAAATTAACTATGTTCTATAATCAAGTCCCTTTGGTTTCCAGATGCAAGCCCCACCCCACATCGCAACAGCCCCCAGACAGGGGACGGCTGGCTCACCCCCACACAGGATGCACTGCGGGCACAGCATCCAGGGGCTCCAGTGGGGTGGAAGGCTGCCAAAAGGGGCTGAGTCCCCAGCAGGCTACAAAGCTCCTCCCGGCGACCCCTCACCAGACAGAAGTCACTATTCCTGAGTGGGCAAGGAAAACAGGCTGGACTTGAGATTCGACTTCCCAGTGCATCTGCCTTGTCACAGCCTTGGGGACATGGCAAGTGAATTACCCATGGAAGTGTGCAGAATGGGACAACCGGTGTCCGACGTACGGCCCATCCCTGCTGCGGAGTAGCAAGCCCAGCCTGTCCCTGGGGCAGGTGCTTGTCTGGGAGGCCCCGCTCCAGCGGTGCCCACACCCTCATCCAGGCCACCACGTAAGAAGGGCACACTTGGGCTTCCTCTCTCACGGCTGTAAGCGCTGTTGTGCAGGCATGCACCAGCTGCCCGAAAATGTCTCGCCAGAGTCAAATTATTTTCCCCATAGGATAGGATTCTCTAGAGGGAGGCAAATGGGTCATTCCTAAGATGGTATCGGATCCCAGACTAAAGTAGGAAGTGAAATAAAACACACAGAGGAGTTCCGAGATGGGCAGCGCGTTCACTCTCCGTAGCGCCCGGTCGCGTGGCTGTTTGGAAGGAACGCGGGGCAGGGGCTGGGGTCCCACGTGCACTTGCTGGCTCTGCCCACGACTCACCACGTGAGGCCTCACCTCTGTTCGCTTGGGTCCTCAGTTGAGAAAGCTATTTCAATATTCACCACCCACCACAAGCCCACATCCTGGGGATGCTGTGGACGTTCACGAAACCATGAACTTCCCGAATCTCTCAGGACTAGAGGGCCTGCAAAAGGAAGAGCCAAGTGCTTTTTCCTGGTGGACAGAAGGACAGCTGTTAAGAGACCAACCCCTAGAATATAAGGCCTGGAAAGGAACACAGGGATTATGTGATCCAGCTCCCCTTCGAGGGTCACAGACAGCCGACCGAGGTCCCATATGAGCAGGAGTTCTGACCAGCAGCCCATACCCTCTCCTACGCGGCCAGTGGGCAATTTCGAGATGGGGGAGTTATGAAAAGACAATTTGTAGCACTTCAATGGCTCAGCAGTTTAAACTCTTCATAAATTCTTTTTTCCCCTAATGGAAAAATGTCAAGCTGATATGATGAAGTATAATGTTATCTGACATGGCTTTAGGTTAATGTACGGTGAGGCTTTTCCCTCGACACAAAAGTCTTCAGCTGGCTCAGACCTCTTCACTCCCCAGTCACAACCCAACACGTGTCCTGAGGGAGGAAAGCTGGTCCATACATCGGCGAGTCCAACAGGTATCCAGACTCCTACTCCCAAGCTGCCTCCCGAAAGCCAGCGCTGTGGTGTGCATGTGCTCGCCCCTGCTCTGGGAGAAGCTTCAGCCGCGCCTTGCAGGACACGACCTTCCGATCATGTCGCTCCCCTGTGGCACCTCGTTCTTCTCAGTGCTTAAAAACCATGGCAGGAGCATTTTAAAAGTGGCAGGTCTGGGGCGCCTGGGTGGCTCAGTCGTTAAGCGTCTGCCTTCGGCTCAGGTCATGATCCCGGGGTCCTGGGATCGAGCCCTGCATCGGGCTCCCTGCTCCGCGGGAAGCCTGCTTCTCCCTCTCCCACTCCCCCTGCTTGTGTTCCCTCTCCCTCTGTCTCTCTCTGTCAAATAAATGAATAGAATCTTTAAAAAAAAAAAAAAAAAGTGGCAAGTCTGCCGCAAACATCCCAAGCCTGTCTGCCACTAAGAACACAGGACTTGCTGCCTGATGAGAAAGCTTTGCGAGAAGATGGGGAAGGAAAGCCGAGGGCGCCCCGTCCGCAGCCCTGCCCTGAGCGCTGCTGGAGAGTCCGAGCACCGTGCACTGTCTCTGCCTGGACAGGGGAAGGCCCAGCAAACCCGGAGTCAGCAACTCAGAACATCAGCTCTCAACGTTCGCCTGTGACGGGCATCACATGGGGCCGAGTGTCCTGCATGAAGTAGAACTCTTCTTACCCCAAAAGGCTTTTTTAGGTTTCTGTGCTACCAGTCCGATCCAGCCGAAACGCTGGTGAGTAGCTGGTATGCCCTTCCGTCCACAACACACATCCGTGAACAGCTAACAATCATCGCTAACAAGCGACACGTCTTGTGCTACAGAAAATGTGCCTGCTGCTCGAAAGCCCCTCGTCATGGGAGAAGCCCTGTGCACGGGGCACTCAGGGCAACTGCTCTGGGGGCCTCGCCAGCAGCGAAAAGGAAGCACAGCGAACCTCGGTGAGCACATCCTGTGGCTCCGGCCACTTTCCTCCTCCTCCTGCCACTTCTCAGCCTGGCTTCCCCGCACCACCCTCCTTTTTCAGCTGCCTGGCTTGTCACCAAACCCAAGGCAAATCCCTTTAGCTCAGTTTGGAGGACCGGGGGGGCGGGGGTTGGGGGGCGGTGAGGATCTGTCCTAAGTCCGAGGACACAGGAATGAAAAAGAGCTTTCCAGAGGACAGGTACGTTCCCTTTCTCCTACCTTAGTGGATTATCTGAGTGGGTCTCCATGTGGGTCTCCAGTCCATACTTGCAAACAAACTCCTTGAAGCATATGGGGCAGTGAAACACTTCATCGACCTTCTCCAAGTCACCCGACTGCCCATCTTCCACCATCTTGGGGGAAAAGAAAAAAGTGAAGTCATGAAGGAGGTCTCCCACACGGGTCTGCTTCAGAAAAGAAGCCAATACTCAATCTGGAAGCCAATACTCAATCTGGATCTACAGGGAGGCCTCCCTCCTAAGGATTAAGGAGGCCACTGACCAGTCTTTTCATCCATGCAACAAATCCTCACCGAATGCTTCCATCCATCCACCTTCAATCCACTCATCCCTTCTAATCCACGCTTATGGAGCACCTAGTATCTGACAGGGACAGAGAATAATAGGAGTCCCTAACACGTAGGAAGCTTCCACTCCAGGTGGAGAAACCAAAAAGCACAGAGCAATGAAATAAGCCCCTCATTTCATGGGGCTCAGTGAGGGGGGCCCACAGAGAAGTGCACACAGGTACGCTTTCCTGCAGACACCTTGCAAAAACAGTGTGGGAAAACACAGGTTAAAAGCTTAGGATGGATGTCTGCCAAGTCCCCAGACTGTGAGTATAAAGACTAGAGGTATTTCTGCCAGGAGTCCCGTGGTTAGGCACATCGGCGTGCGGGGGGGTTGGGGGGAGGTGGCGAGAACCTTTTTAGCAGGTGCTGGGTCTTCCTTCTCTGACTCGGCATCATGACTCAGTTTCCTCTTGGAGGACAGCCGCCGGCGCTTCAGTGGGGATGGGGGGGCCGTAGCTGTAGCACTGTTAGGGTCCTTCTCATGAATCTTCATATGTCTGGAAAGAACACACATACATACACACACACACACACACACACAATGTGATTTGGCAAAAAACTGAGTTGGTTGATTTCTTTTACATTTTTCGTATTATACGTTTAGGTGTTGGTACTTGAATTTTCTTTAAGATAGACGGTAGGATTTATACAGTGATTGCTCTCCTTTTAAAGCCTTCTCTGATCTCCCTGAAGCCCTCCATAAAGCCCTCACAAGCGCTATCCAAAAATGTTGCTCAATGCTTTGCTGTCTATTGGAAGACATTCATGAACTTCACTGACACTAACGAGATGAAAAAAAACATCTCACTGCCTCTTCTACTTACTCAGACGAAAGGTACTATTTCAGGACACATGATTCTATAAAGAACTCCCAGATACGGCCGGTTCACACATAAAGTGATCACTCTGCATTTACCCCCAGAACCCACCTCGCAAATGCCAGCAGCATGTGTTCGCTCTCCTCTGCTTTCGAAGGCATGCTGGGGGTAAAATCTGAGAAGTGCTAACCCAGCAAATGTCTGGAGTGAACCTAAAAGGCTTTCCATGTTGCGCATGGTGTTACGCGGATTCATAGACAGTGAGGGTAGCTGGGGCAACAGAATGAATAGGTTGCACGTTGCGACCCTAACGTCTGCCAGGCCAGGAACACACGTGTGAGAAAGCACTACATAGAGTCAGTCTGTCTGCCCCAGTAAGAAAGCTTTATGGCTGACCTGACTTAGGTGGCCTTACTTTATCAAGTTCTAAAGCAAACACCCTAAGAACATGGTCCCAAGGGCCATAAGGAGAGAGAGAGAGATTACAGAAAGACAGTCAATCTCAATTTCCTTCCTTTGTGACATAAAGGGTTTGGTTTTCCTAATGACAATCGTCATCACCATCATCATCTTTGACTGGGGTTAAACTGTGCCAGATGTAGGAATGAAGTCCCAGCTTTTTAGAAAGAGCTCTTTCATTGGATTATCTCACTGGGGAAGCACTGAGGAATGGGGAAAGATGGCGAGGCTTTCAGAAACAGTCCCGTCACACATCCAGAAAGAAGCGCAGCTCAGCTCCTTCTTTAGAGGGGACGGGCCGGGGATGACAAGGCTAAGAAGCCTGCGAACCACAAGCAGGGGCAGAAATTCAGGGGCGTGGGCCAATGGTGCAAAGAGATGGCTGAGATAAAGCCTTTCCCCACCACAACCCTGCCCCGTGCTACCCCGTGTGTGGGGGTGAGACCCTGGGTGTCTCCTGTTCTGTTCTACAGACATACTTTAGGAGGCGGAGGGCCCCCACACTAGCCCTGATCGTCTCTGCCCCGGCCCACAGAACGTCAGCCCAGCCATCCACCAGCACGCTGGATGTGGCCTAGCCCTGGAGGAGATGGGCCTCAGGCCAAACCTCTGTTGTCTGGGTTGGAGGGCTTGGGGTGGGGAGTAGGGGGTCAGTGTGGTGGAGCAGGAAGATTGAAAGGGAGCAAATGGAAAAGAACCACGGACAACCACCATGCCCACGTCCACCTAATTTCTTGCTGAGCTTATCCAGATGATGCTTTATTGTTAGTTCTTGGTCACCCGAAGCCCCAGGAAAGTTCCTGGGAACCAAGCGCCTCCTTCTAAGTATTCCCTTCTATTCCAAGCTGATTGAGATTTACAGACTGCTCACTATGTGTATTTAGACGGAAAAAGGAAAATGCTAGCAAGTTTCTTTTGATATTTACTGTATCACATATTCCAGTTTTAGAAATGCAAAAAAAAATGTGTAAAGCACCTACAAACTGAGGAAGTACGGAAAGTACTATGGGATGTAAATTAGCACCAAACCCTGTCAATAAATCGTTCAGAAATTAAGTTAAAGATGAATACCTTCTCTACAGCCGATAGGTGACTTGAGCCCATGAACGTGAGGCCACAAATAACCTCAGAGAATACTGGAACTCTGAGACTGACAACCGTTAAGCAGCTCACTAGCTCACTTCAAGCTATGCCTTTTCTATCATAGGATCCGCATTTTTACAAAGCGATGCTTTTATTATCTAGTTCTGGCATGTGTGACCGAAGCTGTTTCCACAGAGTAGAGGATGAGGAAGGACAACAGTGAGCACACAGAGAGGACCTGGTGGGAAGTTTACAGATTCTCATTTCTACTCTGCAGACGAGGCCACGCAAGTGTGGAGAGGTTGACATGCCCGGGGCCCACACGACCACGACAGACCCAGGTGTGCCCACTGAGGAGCCTGGGCTTCCCCTCCCCAGGCTGCTTCCTAAGGCCAAGCCTTTGATCTACATTTTGGAACCTCAGGGCTCCAGCCTGACCTTGGACACTTCCTCTCCGAGTGACTGTAGTCCAAGGCCTAGCACCTGGTACCAAGCTCTAGCCAGACATCAAGAGAATGAAAGAGATCATTCCCCGCCCCCAGTCCTGCCTCTGTCTTATTCTGAAAAACTGGGGCTGCCCTTTAGCTGCATGGTTGCTAAAGGCAGGAAAAGGAGACCAGATCAAAGCAGTCTCAAAGGGCTTGGTGGCAAGCACGTCAACCCACTCCAGTTCTCCGACTGAGGCCTTTGGGGAGCCTCAGGTTCAAAGCCTCAGCATGCTCCCTTCTGGGGTTCCATCTCTGGTTGCTGGCCAAGACACGGGGAGTTTCCAATCTCTTCGGCAACATGGTGACCAACAGCTGCAGGCTCACGAACTCAACTCAGTCAAGAGTTCAGCTGCCAGGGTCTGGGAACCTCAGCCGTTTCTGAAGTTGGATGTGATCTGTAGTTGAGATTCCATCTAACCTGACCCCTTCCCTTCTTCCCGGGGCTCCGGCAGTAGGAGTGACAACATTAACCGTCCACTTCCTCCCGAACGCTCACAGGAAGTGGGGCGTGTCACCAAAATGAGCCAGTAATGGCCTCTTCCTCACAGAGTGTGGCCAAAGCAGACAGGGGGGCTGGCGGGGAGGGCAATTCTAGGTCTCCTCTTTAGAAGGCTTGGGTCTGTTTTTCTGTCAGGTTTTATTTCAAGGACAAATGCTTCTCGTTTCCCTGTACCCTAAGAACCAGTCAACTACAACGAGCCTCAGAACTGGCAGGGAGTTGAGGTGCTAGCCAGCCTCCCCCTCAGCACGCCGGACAGATCGGCATTTCATGATGCCTCAACACTTTTCCATTTGCAACGATGCTAAATATTAAGACCATCTTTCCCATGTTGAGCCAAAAATCCCATCCTTCCTTTAAATGTCTATCTGTCCTCGAGGGCAACGTCGAATCAAGTCTACATTCTCTCCGAGACGGCAGCTCTTCAATTAATTCAAGAGGACTACTGTGTTTCTCGGAAGTCTCTCTTCCCCAAACTGGACAACTCCGGCTCTTCCAGCCAGCCCCCGCAGGCTCTGCTCTCAACGCTGCTGAATTATACCGGTCCCTCCTAACCTTGGGATGCGCCCCGGTATGTGGGTATCCTTTCTGCCACGCTGGATCAGAAGGAGCGGCAATCTGGATGTGGTCTGAGGGTGCAGGGCACAGGACCGGGGCGACCACCTCTGCAGGTGGCGTAAACAGAGCTGGGGTTCCTGCGTGCGTGTTCAACAGGGATGTCACACGCTCAGTTCCAACTAACATCCCCGTGACTTCTTCACTCCAACTGCCATCGAGCCCGTCTCCTCTACTCTACACTCGAGCACTTTCCAACTTTTCATCTGCCAGACTGGCAGGGATGAGAAATGAGCAGAGTTAGTGTGGCTCTCACACTGGTGATGGGAGTAAAAATGGTAACGACCTTTCTGCAACGCGGCTGAGCAACATGGAGCAGAATTTTAAGTATGTGTGCCCTTTACCCCAGTAATTCCACTTCCAGAAATTTGTCTTGAAGATTAAGAGTTGAACAAATGTGCAAGCATTTACGCACAAGGACTGAGGTAGTACCTTTATAACTCAGGGATGGGTAACACTGCAAAAAACACCCCCGACGACAGCATTTTCAACCGGCTGGTCTTACTATTTTAAATGGATACCTCCCTGATTTCCCTCTGGCCCTGCTCCCATGCCTTCTCTACCCCACAGCCAGACCGAGCTTCTAAAACACAGCTCGCTATGTCATACCACTGCCCTGCTCGCAGGCCTCTCTGACAGTTCCCTTCCTAGAACTGAATGTGGCCTCGGCCTATTTCTCAGGCCTCATTTGTTGGCGCCCTATCCTGATCTCAAGGCCCTCGCAGACATACTGGTTCTCTCTGGGAGAGAGGACCCAGGGCTGGTGCACTCGCTGTTCCTTCTGGCTCGGCTGCTCTACCTCAGGACCCTAGGGCTGGTGCCGGCCATTCAAGCTCCACGGCAAGTGTCCCACCGCACTCACGCAGAGGCTCCCAAGCCCACCACCCTGCTTTGCCTTCCTCACAGAACATACCAGAAACTGAAAATACTGTGTATTTCACTTGTTTGTCTCCTCGGCCTCAATCAAAAATAAGTTTCATCACAGCCTTGTCTCTCTCGTTCTCTGCACCGGCCCTTGGTGGCACATACTAGGTAGTGGATAAATATCGGCCAATGGCTGAATGGCCGGACAGACCAGGAAGGACATGCAGAAAACCTGTCCACTTGCACTATCACTCCAACCACGTCCTCAGCCTCCAAGAAACCTCATAATTAATACCCTTACTAGGGTTTAATGTGAGCAAACTCGATAGGAGATTGTAAACAGTGCTGTGATAAAGGCATTTTAATGAAAAACACCAAAAGATGAAAACTGAGGACCCACACGAATTTCTCCCATTATTGGTACGAATCTGTGTTCGTGCATTCAAAAGTCCACTTACATTCACAGTAAGCTGCTTTTGGCACAAAATTCTAGAATTTTCCTTCAGAGGCATGTCACTTCAATCGTAGAAATCCTGCCACACCATGGTCTAAGGAAGGAATGTTATCAGAACTCTTTGAGGATTCAAGTGAAGTTTTCTCCCATTTGTAACACCGGGGCTGGGGGCGGGGGTTGGGGGGGGGGGCGGGAGGTTTCTATAGTAATGAACAAA